AACTATTTTTATTCATAAAAAATACAATTTTTGGAGGTATTTTCAAATCGTGCAACTTTTTTTGGTGATGCAGTCTAATGTACATACATACATACATATATGTTGCATATTTACCGCTGCATTATTGTAAATAACATAACTCTAATCCAAGCCTTCTCGCTTTCAATAAAAAAAAAATGGCAACGACAATATATTACATACATAATTGTTTTTTTTTTTTATATTCTCTCCCAAAATATGTAGTGGAAATTGTGTTTGCTTTAGTACGTGAATGATACGATTTACTGGTTAGAAAGACCCCCTTACGGACTTACTGGTATAAAAAAAAAAACCTGATGTGAAAGAGTAATTCTTAGTTCGCATTTAGATTCAGCGAGCATTAATCTACTACAATTGGCTAGCCATATCCAATGTGCAATTGTCAANTTTTTTTTTTTATATTCTCTCCCAAAATATGTAGTGGAAATTGTGTTTGCTTTAGTACGTGAATGATACGATTTACTGGTTAGAAAGACCCCCTTACGGACTTACTGGTATAAAAAAAAAAACCTGATGTGAAAGAGTAATTCTTAGTTCGCATTTAGATTCAGCGAGCATTAATCTACTACAATTGGCTAGCCATATCCAATGTGCAATTGTCAAGTCGGGCTGTGTTATATTACAAATATATTTCACTTTCCGCTTACCTGTTTGGAATGGTATGAAGTCCGGTGGCTGTTGATAATGACCATTGTCATCCAAAAATCTCTCGGGCCAATAGAGTTCGGGTTCAATCCATTTCAACCGACTCATATGGGCGGCCCATTGTAGAGGGATGATCATACAATTTTTCGGTATCAAATATCCTTCCAGAGTGAAATCTTTTACGGCACCATGCGGTATTCCCAAAGGTACAACAGATCGTATGCGTTGCACCTCAGATATGTATGCTCGCAATAAGTCACACTTCTCCAGGTGATCCAAATCAAACTCGCTGTCAGGTATTTTCGAGAGTTCCTACAACAAAAAAAATAAAAAATGAAGTGAATTATTTAATCACTATGAAATATTTCGTAGCACAAGC